AAGTTTACCTTGTAAATTATCCTTTGTTGTACAGAGAATCTGACCAATTTACTCATTCCACTGGTCCAGCTGCCATTTTATTTATTTTTATTTTTTTTGAGACGGAGTCTTGCTCTGTTGCCCAGGCTGGAGTGCAGTGGTGTGATCTTGGCTCACTGCACGCGCCACCTCCCGGGTTCACGCCATTCTCCTGCCTCAGCCTCCCGAGTAGCTGGGACTAGAGGCGCCTGCCACCACGCCCGGCTAATTTTTTTTGTATTTTTAGTAGAGACGAGGTTTCACTGTGTTAGCCAGGATGGTCTCCATCTCCTGACCTCGTGATCCTCCCGCCTCGGCCTCCCAGAGTGCTGGGATTGCAGGCGTGAGCCACCGTGCCCAGCCCATTTTATTTTATCTAAGTGTGGCCTTAGGAGAAATCTCTTGGTAGCTGCCTGCATGATTGGCAAGTTGAAGTTGGAATTTTTTATGGTTTGTATTAATGGATCTGATTTTTAGAAGTTGCTTGCTAAGAAAATTACCCTCTTCATTTCTGTTTTTAGTAGGGAGGCCTTGGCATTTGTCCAGCAATTAATGAGAAATCATGGTACAATTATGTTTTATTTTTTTTCTTAATTCTTTCTGCGTTTGACATAATGGTGAAAATTAAAGAACCTTGAGTGGAAAATGCCTTAGCAAAATAAAAGCGTATAGCAATTATATTCTGACCTTGGTTTTTTCCCCTTCTATAACTATATATTTTTTCACAGAATTAATTATATTCTAAAGCGTACCCAGGCTCTCTGTTTGCTACGAGATGTTTGCTGCTAGAGTGATTGCGTGCTACTTTGCCCTTAGATGAAGCAGTGCTTTCATAACTTCTAAAGATGCCTGAATTGCCTGAGATTTTTTATGGTTTAAATTAAGTTTTCTTTATTGTTCATACTGATAGAAATCCCACTGTACTCCAGCTATTAGGATAAATTAGTGTGTTGTCTGTAGAAACGAGCTCTTCTAACGGAATAACAGACATACAATTTATATGCAGTTACTCTAATCTGTAGTATGGCAAGGTACAGAGCAGTCCCGGCATGAGCACGGTGACTTAGTCGCTGCTGAGATTACTCACGGGGGCTTATTTCTATCATGGACAATTTAAGTCTATGTTAAGGTGATGACGCCTCCATGATAGTATTGCTGTTTACCCCTGAAAGGTAATGTAGATCACAAGAGTCTAAAATAGATCCGTGAATGCTTCAGTCATTTAAATTGATACTTAAAGATAAGACATTTTAGTTGAAAATAAACATAGCAGCGTCTTCCCTGTGATCATAAACATGTTGGCACTTATTCATGTGCCTGCTGATGCAGGAGATTGGCTGTGCCTAATTCATACTGTCTGGCCCTTAAAAGGATCAAATAGAAGATCTTGACATCATTAAGATTTAGTTTCCTGAAATACTTACTCTTGGAAGTAGATTTCTGTGAAAGAAAAAAATTGATTTTTAGTTGGTTGCCCTGGGAGAATGATGTTATTTAAAAAAACAACAATTTACTGGTAGCGTGTGTTCAGTGTTTGGCTAGAATTACTTGATTCTTTTATTAAACTATTTATTTTTTCTAATAGAAAAGTATTTGCAGTTTAAACAGTGTTGATCACATAAGCACATACAGAGGATGAAGTTAAAATTTTCCAGTAACCCTGTCAGGACCAGACACATTCTGTTAATATTTGTATATACTGATTTTTTTCTGTGTATTTGTATGTATCATATGCGTAGTATTTTGTCAACTTATTTTGTTGAAGTAAATAATGAACATTATTTTATGCCATTAAATATTTTTTGACACCAAGGCTTATTAAAATTATCTCTGAAACTCTATTTTGTGAATATAATCGTCCCGTGGTATACGAGGGGAATTGGTTCTAGGACCCGCGTGGATACCAAACTCCACACGTACTCATGTCCTGCAGTCGGCCCTGTGGAACCTGTGGGTTGGGAAAGCGGGCCTCCCATACGAGTGAGTTTCACACCCCGAGGAGGCTATGTTTCTGTGTGTGCCGTTGGCTGTAAGTGGACCCGCACAGTTCAGATTGGTGTGATTCAAGGGTCAGCTGTATCTGCGATTTTTTCCTGGGAAGAACTACGCTTTTCATCAGATTATTGGAAAGGGCTGTGGTAGTTAAGAACAATCTATTTTTAATGACTACATGGTAATATTTTATAATTCATTTATGTATTCCCTTGTTTTTAAGACATTTAGCATAGCATATTGGAAGTATGATATATGCTGATGAAGAATATTTTATTCCAGTAATGCAAGTATAACATATTATTCAGAGTTTATTCATATTCACAAATGAGACTGTCCTGTAATATTTTTGGTATTTTTCTAATCACATGTGCTAGTGCCAGTTTCATGAAATCAACTGAGGCCATCCTATATAGAATTATGTCTTAAAAAGTGTTAGTAGCCCTGTGCCTTAGTGATAGTATTTTGTATTTCTAGTTTCTTCTGAAGATACTGTTTTCAGGGTCTCCTCTCTCTTGCTTCTTGGGTTAATTTTGACCATTACATTTTGCTAAGAAATCGTTAATTTTGTATTGCTATGTAATTTTTAAAGATATTCGGGATTTATGGAAAGATCACCAACAAGGCACTTGGGGTGTGATACGACTGAAATGTGTTTTACCGCCTGACTGGAGAAATCAGCCATGCATCACAGGGCAGTGCTGAGTCTTAGGCCTTCCAGCTTTTAACTGAAAATACTGTCAAGTGCTGAGGTCATGGTCCCAGTGCCATTTCTCCTTCAAAGGAAGTAGGGCTCCTTGGAGAAGTGGCTGATTCTAGGTATTGGAAGAAATAGAGCTAAGCCTGCATCACGATCTATAGCAGAAAAGCAGGGCAGATCACTCGGGTCCAGTGTGAAGGACTCAGGAGCGGCTTGAAGAGGCTCCCCCTCCCCGCATAGGAGATGGAGAGCCCCAGGAAGAGCATAACTGTGATGGAGGAAGCACTGGATATGCTTAAATCAACACTCTCATGATAATTAATAACGAATTGGTTATCATTGGAGAATGTAAACAGAGGCATTATCAGATGCTTCCTCAGCATTTTTTGATATGGTCAAATGGTTTCCTCTTTTAATCTGTTGATATAATTAATTATGGTGATATTAACAATTCCTGATGAGGCATCCTTAGCTCAGAGGAGAGGATGGTGTATTCATTAAATGGGGCTGGCCCGGCCAGTAAAGAAAAAAATGCCATCTAGGAGAAAACGTAGACTTCCCCCTTACAACATACTGTGTGCCAGGATTATACGAAGTTCCAGAGGAATTAAAGATCTAGGTAATAGGCCGGGCATGGTGGCTCCTGCCTGTAATCCCAGCACTTTGGGAGGCTGAGGCAGGCAGATCGCTTGAGCTCAGGAGTTTGAGAGCAACCTGGGCAATATGGTGAAACCCTGTCTCTACAAAAAATACAAAAAATTAGCCGGGCATGGTGGTGTGCTCCTGTGGTCCCCGTTACTTGGGAGGCTGAGGTGGGAGGATGGCCTGAGCTGGAGGGGCAGACGTTGCAGTGAGCCAAGATCGTGCCGGTGCGCTGCAGCCTGGGCCAGAGAGTGAGACCCTGTCTCAAAAAAAAAAAAAAAAAAAAAAGATCTAGGTAATAAAAATAACTCAATAGAAATACTGAAAGAACTTGATGGAGAATATTTTCATAATCTAGGAATGGGAAGATCTTAGGAAGACAGGAAACTCAGAAACCATAAAGGGAGACAGACATTTATCTGTATATAACAAAACATAGAACCAAAATATGGACCATACTATAAACAATGGCAAATGATTAACTTGGAAAAATTAAATCTCTACTATTTAATGATTCACAAATGATCACTATTCCTAATGTACAAAGAATTTTTGTATATTGATGAGAGAACAAAATGAATAGAAAGATGGGTCAAGGGCATGAAAAGACCATTCACAGGAGAAGAATGGCAAATGGCAGTTAGAACTATGAAAATATGCTCAGCTTCGTTTTTGGTCAATGACAGCAATGTAGGATAACCATGATTCCACCTAACTGGCAAAATCTAAAATGAGCCAGGATTGCAAAAACAGGACATCCTGCCCCTGGGAGTGTCAGTCTACACAGCTGTGTGGAAAGGAAACCTGGCATTGTCTATAAAAACTAAAAGCTACTTCAATTCAGCAGTTGTGCTTTTATAAAACAAGTTTATAGAAATAAAAGCGCTCGTCTGTTAGGGAGTATGACTGAAAAATGAGAATGGCCTCATTGTTGCAGTGGCAAGTAAACTGGAAGCAACAGCCATTGAATTTTCTCCTTACTACTCGGTTTCCTTTCTAACGGCGGTGCTGTAGGTGCCCATCAGGGTCAGGGCAGGGGAGCTGTGTGCCAGTGAGGAAGAAAGCTCCTGAGCACAGATGGTTCCCCAGGGAGCCACACAGGGGTCCCTTCTACAGTGCCACCTGGCTGGTGCTGGCCCCTTGTACACGTGGGTACATGTACAGCAAGGTCTGCCCATAGAGCTTGGGACTTGTCTGTGAACAGAGGACCCCAGCCTGGGCCCCTCTGTGTTCCAGGCTTTGGGGCTCTGCAAAAGAGAGACTGCAAGGGCAGGCAGACTGATGGGAGGAGACACAGCTGCTGTCTGTGAGGGAGGGAACCCCAAACGCCTGCACTGTTACTGAGGAGGAGCTCCGTGCGGCCCAGGAAGCCTCAGTGTTAGGCTGCAGAGGCTCTAATGGACGTTCTGAGTCTCCAAGGAAGACATAACTTGTTTTTGTTATACTTTAGTTTTAAAAGTTTAGGAAATACATAGTTCAATTTAGAGAGATTTCTGTGTTTCATATAAGTTTTATTGTATAAATGGGTAAGAGTCTCTGTGTCTGGAGAACTTGGCTTTCTAGAATAACTTATTCTTTGATGTTGCTGTTGGTTATTATTTTGCCATAAATATCACTCTTTAATGTTTCCATGCCCCTTCGCTCTCAGTTTTTTGTAGCATCAGATCCAACAGTTAAAACAGATCGACTGTGGCATGACAAGTATACTTTGAGGAAATCGATGATTCCTTCATTTATTACGATGGATCAGTCTAGGAAGGTAGGATTAGAAGAGATTTTTATGATTTTGATGTTTTATGGCTATGTATACTTGGATTATGTGACAAAACCAATTTCCATAAAACTTCATGCGTTTTGAGATTGTTAATGTTCTGGAGATGAAGTAAGTGCATATTAATTGAATACATCAAGATAGTATGTGTTCAGTGTATCTTTGAGTTACTAGAATTCACTCCATACTGTAGCAGGTGCCTTGTTACTTTTAAATCAATAGCCAATTTGTGGCTTAGGAATATTTATAGATTTGGGCAATCGTTTTAAATTTACATAAAGGTAATCATAGAATGTTTTTCTTTTTAGGTCCTTTTGATAGGAAAATCAATAAATTTCTTGCACCAAGTTTGTCATGATCAGACTCCCACTACAAAGATGATAGCCGTGACCAAGTCTGCAGAGTCACCCCAGGACGGTACGATGATGCTGGTGGGATGGTGATGATGGTGATGGTGTGATGATGGTGATGATGATGTGAGGACGGTGATGCTCACGGTAACAGTGATGATGATGACGTGGTGATGGTGATGGTGTGATGATGGGGATGATGGGGATGTGATGATAACGGTGTTGGGGATGGGTGGTGGTGATGATGATGGTGGCATGGTGGTGGCAGTGATGGTGGTGATGATGGTGGTGGTGTGATGGTGAGGTGACGGTGTTGGGGATGGGTGGCGATGATGGCATGGTAGTGGCAGTGATGGTGGTGGTGATGTTGATGGTGATGTGGTGATGGTGATGGTGTGATGATGGTGAAGTGATAGTGTTGGGGATGGGTGGTGGTGATGATGGCGTGGTGGTGGCAGTGATGGTGGTGGTGATGGTGATGATGGTGAGGTGACAGTGTTGGGGATGGGTCGTGGTGATGATGACGTGGTGGTGGCAGTGATGGTGGTGATGATGGTGAGGTGACGGTGTTGGGGATGGATGGTGGTGATGGTGATGATGGTGAGGTGATGGTGTTGGGGATGGGTGGTGGTGATGGCGTGGTGGTGGCAGTGATGATGGTGATGTTGAGGTGACGGTGTTGGGGATGGGTGGTGATGGTGGCGTGGTGGTAGCAGTGATGGTGGTGATGATGTTGATAGTGATGATGGTGGTAATGATGATGGTGATGTGATGATAGTAATGACATTGATAATTGTGATGGTGATAGTAATGATATGATGATGGTGATGATAGTGGAGGTGATGGTGATGATGATGTGCTAATGTTACAGATTACTTAAAAGTGTTTTTTGTACCATAGGATTTATAGATCATTGGAATTACTCTCTAAAACACCTGAATACATAGTATTATGTATGTATATGTATAGTACTGTGTAAATTTTTAATTTCCTTTTTATACAGAGTTAAACAGTAAGTGTTGGAATAGGTATAGCTATTTTGTCCTTCTTAATTTGTGTTACTTTTTAAAATGATAAAGTGACAGTGTGCCAAAATAAGGAACAACAGAAGAAATATTGCTAATGGTAGCCCATTCTTTGGGATGCAAAGGCTTCGTTTGGAGAAGAGCCAGGACTTACTGCACTTACTGTGTTTATTGCATTCAGAGTGCTGTGTGAGGGTTCAGCTTGTGTGAAGCGCTGAGGCTTTCCCTCATTCTCTTCCTTTTCCCCATTTGCTGCCTGCCCCACCCTCAGTAATTTCATGATGATGTTTTGTGTATGGCTTTATTTATAGCTCTCCAGTTTTGGCTGTATTTGCTATTATATTGTCATGGTTCATTCAAAAGGTTTACTTTGCGTAGGACACTGTGGTAGCTACAGGAAAGAGATGATGACTTCACCATGACTGTTCCTTTCATGAGCTTATTAGTCTGGTCTTGGAGAGGAGATGCGTAATAAAATAACCAGTAGTCAGTAATAAAGGTGGAAAGTGATCAGGGATGTGAGATTTGCAGGTGAAGTGCTTTGGGTATTTTCAGGCAAGGCTCAACAGGAAGGCTTTGGAAAGAGGCAGAAATTGCACTGGCCGTGGAGAAGGAGGAGAATTTGGTTGTGGGTTATCATGCAGCCCAGGACAAAGGAATAACGTGCATGAAAGTGCAGATGAGAAATAGGACGAATTAGACTTATCTAAAGATTGTAGTGAAAACAAAAAGGTGTAAGTTATTGTTATTTATTAATGTGACAGACTTAAAGAGAGACAGACTAGGACCTGGTGTAGGAAGTAGGATAGGTTACTGGGTGTGGTTTTAGCTACGGGTGTTACTGGAATGACCGATGTTCTCTAACAGGACTTGGCTCTCTGGACAGGAGGGCTGGGGATCAGGAAGTCAGTGATGGCACTAGAACTCTGAGCTCATGAGGCCTAGTCGGAAGGGCAGCAGGGAATTTTGGAAGAGGATAGCACTGAGAGAGGAGTGTCATTTAGGGCAATTTGGTTTTCAGTAACTGAGAGGACTTACTAGTGGAGGCTTCCAGCATGTATTGGAAATGCTGTACTGAAACTCTGGTTAAAAGTTAGGGCCAAGGATAGAGATTTTGGAAGCATTTATCTCACCGTGGTAACTCAGGACAAGGCAGGATGGTGTAGCAAGAGCTCCCGTGTGGTCCAGGGCAGGCCCCTTTTCAGGCGTGTGAGAGCCATAGCCCCTCTCAGCCTAAAGCATTCACGCACCATTTTACATGTATTTTTTGGGGGGAGGTCCATATACCCCAGATTAGTTCCTGGAATAGAGATAGATGTGATCCAGTGCAGATTTCGAGGAAATGCTTCTACATTGAAGAGGTGGAAGGAAGAAGAACCAGGAGAGCAGTTGTGTTCAAGTCATGACCTTTCATGGTGCCTAGAGAAGATGGCGCAGAAATGGGCTGTGCCCGGGACAGGGCGTCCCCACGCTCCTGCTGTGCGGGACACTCTCCATGAAGGTTGCTGCTGCTTGTGCGAGCTCTGAGTCTGCAGTCCTGCCGGCGGCCCCCACACCCACCGCCCCGCATCTGCAGATTCAATCAACTGAGGATCAAAAACACTTAAAAAATGCAGCCATTAAAAAAATACAAAAAAAATCCACCCCAATAGTGTAACAGCTATTTGCGTAGCATGTGCATTGTGCTAGATATTATAAGTAATTTAGAGGTGATTTAACGTACATGGGAAGGTGTGTGTAGGTTAGGTGCAAATATTGCTCTGTTTTATAGAAAAGACTTGAGCATCAGGGGATTTCGGTATCTGTGGGGGTCGTGGGATTGGTCCCCTGCAGATGCTGAGGGCGACAGGGCGCTGCTGCTTCTCTGAAATGACTCCTCCTGTCCCCATCGTCCTGTCCACGGCTGCCAGGGTCAGTGGAGAGCAAAGTTTCTGCTGTTGAGTGTTTATAGTATAACTGGGAAGATAGAAGATACAAATCCTAAGAGACTCTTAATAATGGTCAAAACACAGGAGAACATGTCCGATTCATCTTTATCTGTGAAAAGGTTATGAAGATGTAAAAGTGTGAATAAAGAATAAAGAGTGAAAATTTAAAAACTGGAGCACGAGAGATGCCTCAACCCTGAAGGAGCAAAGAGAGTTCCGAGGAGGCTCTGGGTTCTGTGTCTTCATAGGCTGGTTTGGGCTGAGATTGATTAAGACTGATTCAAACCTTCTCTTTGGAATGAAATGTTTAATGACTCAAGGGTATAATGAAAACATTTCCAGAGAAAAATCTTTATATCATTAAAATTACGTAGATCAACGGAAATAGAACCCCATGCCCTTAAAACCGGACCGTGGTGAGCTCATCAAGGGGTTCCGTGGTGTCGTGACTCCAGGCAGACCTCACTCATCCTCAGATAACTACAGCTGCTTCACTGGGAGCGTCTTAGTTTTTTTACCACCGCTGTGTAATTGGAATAATAGCAACACTAACATAGGCCTGTCTTAACTGCTTTCTTATTCTGAAGGACAAACAAATCTTAGGAGTGAAGACTGACATATTTAAACTGGGTAACTCAGATAATGGAAAGAGACTTAAACTGAATCAGAAGCTCTCGCCTTTCTTGTCCTTGCTTAGTCTTTGGCTAGCGTTTTGCTTTCTCTCAGTCTGAGGTTGTTCCTCCCACTGGGGTTATTGTCTAGCTTAAGTGTTATTGCGGGTTTAATGAATGATGTATTCATGTAAGTTTTAAAACCGGTTTTGTGCTTTGCGGATGTAAATCAGCACTGTAAGAAGCTCTGTTATGTGTATAGTCTCCACCTGCGATTTCTTCTCAACAGAAAGCTATGGAAATGCTTTCTTCCCCTACGTTACTGCGTAGAGTCAGGCGTCTTTACTGGTGACAATCTGGGTTTGTCCCCTAGACGTCTCCAGCAATCTCTGTGGAGTTCACTCTATGATGCATGATACTACTCAACTTTTGCGAGTTGTACAATTCACAAAGCTTATTTGCATGTGCTGTTTTGGTCTTAAGACTGATTTATGGAAACGTCTTATGGGTATGGACGGGTGACTCAGCACTGGCTTGCCCTGTTACCAGTGTGTTTTGGTGAGACTTCCGGTTAGTTCCAGTGCATTAAGGGATTTGGAAATCATGAAGACGCACGCGTAGGCGTCTGCTGTGACCCCAGCTGGCAGAAGTGTTCTCATCTTTGTGGTCTTAGGGCTCTGGTCTCCTCCGTGGAACGTCCAGCTGCCTGTGCCTGAGGTCGGTGTGTTACCGGTGCCACAGACCGGGGTTGGCGTGAGTCTGGGTGTGTGCGCCTTCACTTCTGCTTTGTGAAAACACAGGCTGCGGATACACGTGTTCTCTTCTCTGTTGTTCTTTACAGCCGCAGACCTGTTCACAGACTTAGAAAATGCATTTCAGGGGAAAATTGATGCTGCTTATTTTGAGACCAGCAAATACTTGTTGGATGTTCTCAATAAAAAGTACAGCTTGTTGGACCACATGCAGGCAATGAGACGGTACCTACTTCTTGGTCAAGGAGACTTCATAAGGCACTTAATGGACTTGCTAAAGTAAGACACTATTTTCATTTCTATAAATGAGTAATATATTTGACATGAGAAGGAATCTTGTGTTTAAAAGAATAAATTATATTAAAGGAAAATGAGTTGAATTCTTCGAGCATACTTTTTAAAATAAAATCTGAAAAGAATGTAAAATTTTCAAAAGGTAAGGCCCCTATATTTTTCTCTGGTTATCAGCAGAGCATCATTGTCATGTTCTGTGCTTTATTCATAAGAGAAACTGGCATTTATTACCAAAACTATGGCGCTTACAGTCTTCATGTATGAGGAGTTTGTCTAATCACAATTAACTTTAGCTTGAGTTTGAAATAAAGCTGAAAAATAAAATACACATTTTAAAATTGAGTTTTACTTTTATATTTGTAGTTAATGTTTCACATAAAAACAAAACTACAGCCCTTTTTATTTTGCTCCCTGACATTTCTCGTGGCATCTTCCCTCCCAGAGTTAAATGTGTGTCCTTCTCCACCAGTAGAGACAGAGACAGTTCTGGACCAGAGCCTGCTATGCTCCTGGGTCTAGAGACAGTGCAGACCCCGGCCCAGGCAGTGTGAGCCTGGGCATGAGCACCCTTGGGGGCCACAGCCTGGGCCTGGAGATTTTCACCCAAGTGTTTAGAAGAATGAAAGTTCTTTTTTGGTGTTCCTTTTAGGACACTTAAAGTAAGCTAAATGTTCCCTTTAAGACACAAAATCAGCCGAGCCTGGTGGCTCAAGCCTGTAATCCCAGCACTTTGGGAGGCCGAGGTGGGCGGATCACGAGGTCAGGAGATGGAGACCATCCTGGCTAACCCAGTGAAACCCCGTCTCTACTAAAAAATACAAAAAACTAGCCGGGCGAGGTGGCGGGCACCTGTAGTCCCAGCTACTCGGGAGGCTGAGGCAGGAGAATGGCGTAAACCCGGGAGGCGGAGCTTGCAGTGAGCTGAGATCCGGCCACTGCACTCCAGCCTGGGCGACAGAGCGAGACTCCGTCTCAAAAAAAAAAAAAAAAAGACACAAAATCATAACTTACCTTTAAACCCTGCCAGTGCTGCCCAAGCAACTGTTTTAGGGCCTCAGGTCCTCGAGTTTCAGTGGATTGCAGACTAGAAAGCTTGCTTGTGGGCCCAATTCAGAGAATGAGATTTTCAGGTGTGGGGTGGAGGATTTGCATTTCCAGCAAGTTCCAGCTGCTGGTGATGCTGCGTTTGTGGGGACTACACATTGAGAACTACTGTTTGAGACATGCAAGCTCTTACATCTTACCTTCTAGCCAGAAGCCAGTCTCCTTTGTGAAAACTCATATGGCTTTTTGAGGCATACACAGCCATAGCTGGCTTGCGACATGCTCATGCCTTAGTCACAGCTGATGTCTGCTAACAGGTTTGTAAGAAAAGAAGGTTCACTAGTACAGTAAATGCTGGCCGTGATGAGGTCAACAACTGTGTGAAGTATGAGTGGTGATGAGCTTTTAAAGGGGAAATGTTCTCTAATGCCATGGGTGTGTATGTGGGTGAGTTGGTGCCGCTGGAGATGAGGAGCCAAAGTGAGGTTTGGAGGACCCTGATGGTGTCATAGGTCACATCATAGAGCCGGCTGAATGCATTTGCCTTGTGCCCAATCTTAATGTTGAAAGTGTCACAATGCTTCCTTTAAAGTGAAAAATTCATTTCTCCTCATGTCGTATTTTAAGTCCCTAGTTTTTAGGTTTATTTGACATTTTGTGTCTTTTTTACCTCGTCGCTGCCCTGCGTTTTGTAGAGCTTTCGTGTCTACCTGAGTTGATTAGTGATGTTCTTAACTTGGCAACCCCCTGATTAGAGACGTGTTAGCTTCATATTTATAAAAGCAGATATCAGTAACCCTCAAGAAATGCTTGCTGAAAGTGTAGTGGTTCTTGGCCCTTTAGAATCATGACATCCATATACCTAATTGCTTTGATTCAATAGATCTCTCCTCCTCTCATTGGGTCTAAAATGAAATTACATCAGCTCATGCTGCTCATAGGCCAGCCTAAAGTTTGAAAACTTTGTTAACATGTATAGCTCGTTTAAGTACTTTCAATTTAAGCTGAGTTGGAGTCTCGCTCTGTCGCCCAGGCTGGAGTGCAGTGGCGCGATCTCAGCTCACTGCAACCTCTACCTCCCAGGTTCAAGCGATTCTCCTGCCCCAGCCTCCTGAGTAGCTGGGATTACAGGTGCCCACCACCATGCACGGCTAATTTTTGTATTTTTGGTAGAGATGGGATTTCACTATGTTGGCCAGGCTGGTCTCAAACTCCTGACCTCAGGTGATCCACCCACCTCGGCCGCCCAAAGTGCTGGGATTAGAGGCTTGAACAAATGTTCCTGGCCAAAATCAGTATTTTTGAGATTTTAAAGAAATGTAACTCCACAATAATTAGTAAACTCTGTTTGCAGTTAATGCTCTGAAGCTTTCATTGCCACATAATTGTATTGGTCCCATTTGTCTTTTGAGTTTTTATAATTTGAACTCTTTTTATAGTTTATACTTTTTTAAAAGTTCATTAAGAATTGAAGTAATATTTTCTTTAATTTTTAAAAAATTTGTTAAGACCAGAACTTGTCCGTCCAGCTACAACTTTGTATCAGCATAACTTGACTGGAATTCTAGAAACCGCTGTCAGAGCCACCAACGCACAGTTTGACAGTCCTGAGATCCTGCGAAGGCTGGACGTGCGGCTGCTGGAGGTACTGCGGCTCTGCATGTTGGGAACGCTGCCCTGGCACCAAGGACCCACTGGGCTGGGGTGTTCTAGCGAGTGTTTTCCATGTTATTTCAGGCACAGCTAGCCTTTATCTTTCTGGAAACTGGGCAGCGTGAGTAGGAACTCCACTCTGTCACTTGTTGCTGCCTGGTTAGCACATCTCCTCCCTCTACACCATCTGGGTCTCCGTTTGCCCATCTTGCAGGGAGCCTTGCAGGGCTGCTAGGCTTAAGTTGGAGAAAACGCATGACACCCTTGCCCTGAGCTGGGTAGCACACACAGATGCTTAGAGAATGGAGCTTTCTTCTCATAGTAAATCCAACAGGAGCACAAGACATGGTGTATGATGATATTTATCAGAAAATTGATGTTTTTAGTTTCAGTTTGGTAGGACATGACTTTCCTTTAAGGGTATGGGTATTAACATAAACCCACTCTTTACTTAGTTGTGATGAAAGATCATTAGCAGAATGGTTGGTTTTCTTAAAATATTGCAGGAGTCATCTTGGAATAACTAAGGATTTGGAACATATTTAGAGGAGTGCGTTTTTGTTGTAGCAAATGGTGATGAATTTTAAACACATATTCACAATATTCATTCAGAAATACACCATTCCTTGCCAGATGTTTGCAGAGCACCTACTGTGTGCTCATTATTGCCTAATCGGTGAGGTTGTAGAAGTTAACCAGAAGATGCATTCAGAACTGCTGAGCAGTTTTTAACAATGGGGCGTTATTTTACTGCTTTTTCTTTGCGTCAACAAGTTCTTCAGCAATAAGCTTAAGGTCTTGCAATTATGTGTTTGTTTCTGTTGTTAGGTCTCTCCAGGTGACACTGGATGGGATGTCTTCAGCCTTGATTATCATGTCGACGGACCAATTGCAACTGTAAGATTATCCTGCATCATTTTATAGTATTTACAGCTGTTAAGATTGTTAAACATTTTGTTTGAAATTAACTTTCTTCTCTGGGGACTTCTAATTCAAGTGATCACTCGACATCTAAGATATACTCATTGAATAAATACTTAAGCCAAAACTGTGTGTGTTTTAAATGATTATTAATGAGTACTGAAATACTCTCTCATTTTAAAAATTCTTAAAAATATCATTTGTTCTATCATAGGTTTCAGCAACTCCTTAATAAATGGGCTGTTCATTCCGTTCCATTATTAGACTGTGGCAACTAGTTTAGGATAATTTAAAAGGAACTGTAAAGTGTATTTTAGGGGAATCATGTTTTTACTACTTAGATAAAATTTGGTATTTAGTATTCATTTAAACCGATGAGGAAACAGCTGTACTTTGTTCATAGTGCCTTCACCTACATCACAGTTACCACATTATAAAAGGCTGACCAGGAAAGCTGTCTGTTTACACGCCTGCAGTTAAAGTGCCTCTTTTTAGTGCTCATTTTGCAAGTATTCAGACTTGAATAAATTTCCTTGACCAAGATACCCCTCTAAACTTACTTCAATCATTTTTGTATCTGAAATACTGAAGGAAGGACACTGCATTTCTTTGAGGTATTGGGAAGAGTATTTTGTTGAGAAGGAATATAGTTGGGCTCTAAAATTTTTTCTTAGTGGTTCTGGTAGAGGCTGCTTCGTGCTGTTTTCCCGTCTCTCAGGGTGCACATCACGCTGCTGAAATAATTGCGTCAGGGCACACTCACCCTCTTTCCTCTTGGGGGTAAGAAACCTGCCACTGGTAAGTGTGTCTCTCCTGTCTACAGCGAGATGGGAACTGCTGGTGCAATTTCCCTTTACACGTAAATTCCTGGTGTATAACCTTTATTGATCAAAGCTACTATATTTTAAGTGTATAGCTCCTCTTAAATTTAATTTCTCATCATGTTCAAATTAGCTTTTTCTCTTTTGACTTATGTCCTAACCAATTTAAAATAGTTACAATGCAAAAAGCGGTGTGATATTTTAGCAAATTATTTATTTAATTTATTTTTGACACGGAGTCTCATTCTGGCACCAAGCCTGGAGTGCAATGGCACGATCTTGGCTCACTTCAACCTCCGCCTCTCGGATTCAAGCGATTCTCCTGCCTCACCCTCCCAAGTAGCTGGGATTATAGGCATGAGCCACCATGCTGGCTAATTATTGTATTTTTAGTAGAGATGGGGTTTCACTGTGTTGGCCAGGCTGGTCTCAAACTCCTGACCTCAGGTGATCCACCTGCCTCCCTCCCAAAGTGCTGGGATTACAGGCATGAGCCACTGTGCCCGACCTTAACAAATTATTTAAATTAGCAACTTTCATATCTCCTGCCTTGTTAATTTGCATACATTACGTATTATTTTCTTTGTTTTTTTTTTTTTTGTGTTTTTTTTTTTTTTTTTTTTTTGAGACGGAGTCTCGCTCTGTCGCCCAGGCTGGAGTGCAGTGGCGTGATCTCGGCTCACTGCAAGCTCCGCTCCCGGGTTCCCGCCATTCTCCTGCCTCAGCCTCCTGAGTTCTGGGACTACAGGCCGCCACCGCGCGCCGGCTAGTTTTTTGTATTTTTAGTAGAGATGGGGTTTCACCGTGGTCTCGATCTCCTGACCTTGTGATCCGCCCCGCCTCGGCCTCCCAAAGTGCTGGGATTACAAGGCGTGAGCCACCGCGCCCGGCACGTATTATTTTCATACCATAAAAGATACCATAGTACGGATAATTGCATCGATTATTTCAGACAGTACTGAGTGCCTTGACAATAGGTTAAACTGAACGTTGCCTAGAGAAGAGATAATTAATTATTTCATAGTATTACAGATCTTTATTAAGAGTGTCAAAGGTGTCCTACCATGTACATAAACAGTTGCCATGCCAATATTGTTAAATGTTTAGGTTGCAAAGCTCTACTTTTAGTGAAAGGACTCAAGGAAAAAAGTTTATATCATAGAGATTTATTTAAAACCGCAATCTATCACCTGAGGCCAGGAGTTTAAGACCAGCCTGGCCTACATTGCAAAAAACCATCTCTTCTGAAAAATACAAAATTAGCTGGGCATGGTGGCACACACCGTAATTCTGGCTACTCGGGAGGCTGAGGCATGAGAATCCCTTAACCCAGGAGGCCGAGGTTGCAGGTGAGCCGAGCTCTCACCATTGCACTCCAGCTGTGGGTGACAGAGTGAGACTCTTATTTCAAAAAAAGAAGCCCACAAAACCCAAACTAAAAGGTAAAGTCGGTTGAATATAACCCTGAAGGATTTCTTTTCAGGGACTTGGAGATTTCTTCTCAGGCCTTTACCTTCCATGGAGATTCATCACCCCCTTCAGGAGTGACTGTTAAGAGGAAAAGTTGCACCGCTGCCTCCATGGATCCTAGGCGGGTTGGGGAGTTGTAGTGAGAGAGTCCACACATGTTGTAGATTAGGCTTAGGACTAGATCTAAAGAATGGATTGAAAAATTCTGATAAACTGTTTGCAAGTTGTGTAACGTTAGGGCCTCTGTGTTCGCCTGCTTTGCTGTTCTGTGGAGTTTGGCTTGCAGTGCTGCCTAGCATGGAAAAGTCATCAGTGTTGGTGTTACATTATGATAGTTTGCTAAAATGTACCCTTTTGAAAAAAAAGATTGAACCTGTACTGTAGGAAGATTCCTTATGGTGGGGATTACTATAAACCTCGTCCTTCTGCTCCTCTATCCCAGGTGCTACTCGGAGATGTATGAGGCCACGTACCTAAGAGTAGATTTTAACTGTCCTCTGGAGGGCAAAGCGCGGATGGAATACAGTTCTCAGCGCGCACATACGGCAAGGCGCACACAGTGGCAGATGCAAGCGTCGCTGAGAAAAGCATGCCATGCTGAGCCCTCAGTGCGGTCGGACGGTCCGCACACACTCCAAGCAGCAGTCAGAAAGCCCATGCATGGTTGAGCCCTCAGTGCGGTCACGGTCCGCACACACTCCCAGCAGCGTCAGAAACATGCCAGGTGAGCCCTCAGTGCGGTCACGGTCCGCACACACTCCCAGCAGCGTCCAGCCCCCCTGGGTGCGGTTTCCAGCAGCTCCGCGGAAGTTAAGGTAGACTCACGGTGTTAGCTATGTATTTTTTCCAGATGGCGAACTTTCTTTTAAAATCACATTTATTTTTTATTCTAGTGTTCACATATATACTTTTAAAAAATTGCCTATTTTTAGGGAAAGCGGTTTAATACATCACTGACTCATTTAAAATTCACACAGTGTTTTAACTAAATTGTTTTTGAGAATTTCTTTAATGTTTTGTCCATAAACCAGAACATGGGAATATATTATTTAAAACAATCTAAAACTGTAGTAAAAATTCTTAGGTATCAGATAGTCAAGATTATTTTAATGTTATGAACATTGAATGACTTAAATTACAAGTAATTTTGAAGTCTTTATATAAAATTGATTTGGTCAGAACCCTTGAGAAAGTATTTCAGTAGGTACGTCTCTAAAGAAGAACTAAACGGTACATGCCTTTAATCCTTTGGTGAAAAGTAATTATTAGGAATAAAAAGAGAGCAGTTGTTGGGAGAAAGCAGTTCATGATCTCTGCTTCTTTACCAGCTCAGAGGCTGGTCCCTGAGCAGCTAGCAGAGATCCAGAATAGTGACCCCGCCGAAGGCTGTGGGGCAGGGAGTTGCCTGTCTGAGCCAACACTGACATGTAGAATTGTCGGTTTTTACTGGGTGTTGATACTTGACTGTAGTGGGGAATGAATGGTAGGAATCCTCCGAATTAGCTGAGAAGGAAGCAAAGGGGAGATTTTCTTTTAAAGGCAGTGATGACTGCGGGCTGGGTACCCTTCTTGTGAATGTGCTGCCACGAGCGGGCGGGGAGGCGGGAGGAGGGCCGTGCTGAGAGGACTACATGCACGCCTGGGGCTCTGCGGGTCTCCTTTCTCCACGGTTTCACACCGTCCTTCTCGCCACTGTTGCGGGATCCCTCGCTCAGAGTTGTTTTAACTGGGTATGTACTTACTTGCCTACACTTTTCCTTCCCTCTGTCTTCTTATGAATACCACTGAGTAGATCAGTTCCTGGCTGCCCCCTTCACGAGGCAGCGTCTTATAGTGAGTTTAGACCAATTCAAGGCCAAACTGATGCTGTCATTGTCACGTGTCAAAATAAGCCTCTGCGAAGGCTGAGCTCCATACCAACTTGAAATATGGGCTGGTCATGCTACAGTTTTCTGATCTGATTATCAGTTTAGCAACGTCTGTATCAATTTGCTCTTCTCTTATTGTATTGAATGTCAATAATGAGTTTTGTTTTCTAGTTGGAGATAACTAATAAATTTTTTGATCAGTTTTCTATGTATGGGAAAATGTATATTTTATTATTTATGAAATTTATTTATATCGCTAGGATCCTGCTCACAGAGTTTAACTCCAGCTTCTTTTGCTGAGCCTTCCCCCTCGCTATTGAAACTTTTTCTGAACCATTTTTAATAGCACGATATTACCTCATGTACATATCATTTCATCATTTCTCTTTGGACATGTTTTTTCCTCCAATTTTTTGCTAATATAAATAATGCCATGCATGTTTTTATAAATGCATCTTGATATGCCTCTCTGAATATTTCTTGAGAATAGATAGAAGTGGAACTGCTTGTTTAACAGTTTGAATTTTAGTTTGACTTTTTACTTACTAAGTATTCATATTTTAACTGTACTGATATTATCAGATCACTTTTTGGGAAATGTGCACCAATTTAGTTCACATCTCAGTAAGCCCAGATTGTGTTGTTGAAAGTTGTCTATATCACTGTTTTTGCTGACACTGGCTATTAATTCAAATAAATTGTCAGTTCATAGGTGAAAATGGAAGTTCATTTCAACTTTTATGCTTTTTAAATGTTATGCTTTAAAAATGATTGATGAAGGTAAACACTTTTATTTTTAAGACGGGGTCCCCATTTTTGCCCAGGCTAGCCTCAAATTCCTGTGCTCAAGTGATCCTCCCACCTTGGCCTTCCAGAGTGCTGGAATTACAGGCACGAGCCACCAGGCCCGGCCTCTTTTTTCTTCGCTTTGCTGTATTACGTAGTATTCCCTTTATCTACAGGGGATATATTCTAAGACCCTCCCCCCCACCCCATGGATGCCTGAAACCTCAGATAGTATCAAACCTTACATATACTGCTTTTCCCCATATGTACTTACCTATGATAAAGTTTAACTTATATGTTAGCCACATTAAGTGATTAACAGCAATAACTAATGACAAAATAGAATTATTTTAACATCATACTATAATAAACGTTATGTGGGTGTTATGTCTCTCTCAAAAGATCTCACTGTACTATACTCACCTTTTTTTCTCGTGATCTATTGACCTGATAAATGAGACAGCTACTGAGTGACTAAGGGGGCAGTAGTGTATACGCCGTGAATTTGCTGGACAAAGGGTTGATTAACTTCCTGGCTAGGATGGAGCAGGATGGTGTGAGATTTCATCACTACTGAGAACAGTGCTCAATTGAAAACTTATGAATTGTTTATTTCTGGGATTTTCCATGTACTATTTTTGGACTGCTGTTGACAGCAGGTGACAAACAGCATAAAGAGAAACTGTATGGGGGACTACCATGTTCCCTTTTTCGGGAATTGTTTTACCTGTGTTTCTGTTGGGGTGTCTGTGTTCTTACCTTTAATAAAGAAGTATTTTAAAGTAGTTCATGGCCAAGCAACTTCATGAGCAGAAATCAGCTAGCTGATCTTGCTAATCCAGCCCGTTAGAAATGTCCTGCTAATTATAAATCTGAAGCAGATTACACATGGACCCTGTAGAGAGCTCCCATCAACAGCTGCCACGGGGCCTCGTACGGGTGTGGTGTGCAAAGGACGGCTTAGTCTTAAAGTGTCAACAGTTATCACCCTAGTGTTTTAACAATATTCATCTAAGTAGTAACTTGTTCCATCCATCATGTGCAGTAAGTAGTTACATGTGAAAGTGCTTTGCTGGGGACAAGAGTTTTTGATCATGGTCTACCAGGAAGGTCACACCCATTCCTCACGTAAGATTGTCTGCTCTTCCTGCCTTTACCAATCCTGGATGGTAGCAGTTTTTTATGTATTTGCCAGTCAGCTGGACAAAACACAGCGGCTAATACTAAAATGGTTTGTTAGATTCAATTAATCTAAAAAATATTTCTACTACTGGAAACTAAATTCATGTTTCAGATAACATTTCACAAAATGAAGTAGACCAGTACAGGTAACTAACTGAGCCTGTATTCTTTCTCAGCCTCTGTGTGGGGTGGGGAGGGAACGAATGGAGGCTTTTTCTTTCTCTTTCAGCTTCCCTCCCTTTCCCCTTTCAAAACAGTGGCATTGAAATAATTTGCTTTTGGTCTTTATTAGAAATAAAATCGATCTCTTATGTTCTTGAGGGAAAACAAGGATGCGTTCATCTTTCATGAAGAATCAAGATGAAATTTATGTAGTTAGGTTCCAATAGAAGTCTGATTCAGAAATAATACTTTCTTAGTTTTCCTCTCGTTTTTAAGACATTAACTTACTCATCTGAGACAAAAATTAATGTTTAGACACTGAGTTTTTAGAGGGCTCTTAAGAGAATGTTAATTCTCTGAAATGGTCCCTGAAGTTCTCAGGGAACAGTGGTTAGTGGAGATTTACGTTTACCTTTTTTTTTTGAGATGGAATCTCGCTCTGTCGCCCAGGCTGGAGTGCAGTGGTGTGATTTTGGCTCACTGCAACCTCCACTTCCCAGATTCAAGCTGCTCTCCTGCCTCAGCCTCCTGAGTAGCTAGAATTACAGGTGCCTGCCACATCGTCTGGCTAAGTTTTTTGTAGTCTTAGTAGAGATAGGGTTTCACCGTGTTGGCCAGGCTGGCCTCAAGCTCCTGGCCTAAGGTGATCTGCCCACCTTGGCCTCCACCAGCTGCTGAGAATTACAGGCGTGAGCCACTGTGCCTGAGGTTTTTGTTTTTTTTTGTTTTGGAGACAGAATCTTGCTCGGCGCCAGGCTGAGTTAGCATGGTGTGATCTCAGCTCACTGCAAACTCCGCCTCCCAGGATCAAGCGATTCTCATGCCTCAGCCTCCTGAGTAGCTGGGATTACAGGCGTGTGCACCATGCCCAGCTAATTTTTTGTGTTAATATTTGTAGTAGAGATGGGGTTTCACTATGTTGGCCAGGCTGGCCTCGAACTCCTGGCCTCAAGTGATCCGCCGGCCTTGGCCTCCCAAAGTTCTGGGGTTATGGGCGTGAGCTACTGTGCTTAGTCACTGTTGAAGATAATGGAACTCCACTCGCTTAAAATGAGATGTAAATACTACTACATTTTAAAATTAGAGCTTGTACGCTAGACACTAAATTATTTCTTGTCTAAAATATAGTGATAGCAAGTTACAGGTTTTCCTTTATCTTTTCTAATCCCACTGAATGAAATGTGCTCTCGAGAAAGTGAGTGTCTAAATGAGGCTTTGTGGGGTAGGTGTCGAAGAGCAGGGTCTGGCCATGGAAATAGCTTGGTGGGGCCACATCTAAACCAGCAGGTCCCTTACAATTAGGAAGCTTTCAAGTAGAAGGCACTTTGGAGATACCACAGTCAAACCTTCCTAGTGTATATTGGAGAGCAGCCTGAGACCCAGAATCTGAAAAGGTTGGACTGGCCCACATTTGGTTTAGGCCCAATATATTGAAAAATAAGATAAATCAAGGTTTAACAGCTCATACTACATTTTGTTTTGGTTTTCCTTTCAAACATATTTTATTACTTCTAAGATACACATTGTTTTCATGTTCTCAATGTGTCTTAAAGTCTGTTGAGCTGCAGGGCTCCTGTTGCCTGCAGCTGTGTAAACCTGGCCCCAGCTCCTCTTGGTGCCTGGAGCTGGGCTCTGTGCTCCGGCAGCATAGCCTTTGGTACTGGCCACAGCTGCGGTTCGTTGCCTTCAAAAAGATTACACCCTGGCTCCACCCTGGCTCTGTTTTGAAATGAAAAGTTACTGTGTTTGCAGAAAAGTGTAGAAATAGCAGTGGAGCATAAATTTGAAATCCATGAAGCACATAATTATTATTGAGAGAAGAACCAAAATGCCACCTTTCCATGTAAAGCAGCACCGCGGATTTTATCTTACCAGGAAAGGCAGGTGCCCGCGGGCCAGCAGTGTCCCGTGAGGGGCCCATCTGCGCAGTGGGTTCAGAGGGTGTTTCCCGCACAGGACTGTGGTCAGAGTGTCTGTCAGTGTGATTGGCAGCTGGTTTACTTTCTTGATGATTCATATAGTAATGATTCGTCTTACAAATGACAGTGTCTTAGACTCAGTGAATGATAAAAGGTGAGTTGAAATTTTTCTCTTTAAAAATTTCTGTGTGTATCTATCTGTGTTTTTGTATCCTGTGTTTTATATCCTTAGTGTGTATCAACCGTCCAGTGTGGCCTCGGCCCTGCAGGATATGTGCTTGCTGTGTTCGTTGTATGTTTCACTCATCATTCCTATGTTTCACTAAGGATCCAAAAGATACTTAACAAAAGTCTTTTGGATCCTCAGTGAAACATACAAATACAGATAAAAAAAATTCTCTGTGCCTGGCACCAACTGATAGAAACTTTAAGCTGAGCTGTAGGTGCTAGAGCTACATTGCCCGGGGGCGTCCCCACCCCACCACCTGTCTCTGAGATTGTATGGTCTCAGCTGTTTTCTTGGTCTTCTGCCTCAGTTTCCTCATCTGGGGGATGGGGTGTTGATGGCACTTACTTCGTAGTGTTGTCAGGATTAAGTCTGAGTGAAAGTACTTGGAGCAGCACCCGCCTGTGGTGGGTGCCCCCAAGTTCACCATTGCCATGGTTACTTTACAGGTGGTTAGAGACTTTGAAAACAATCCTAGTTCTTAACAAATGTCATTTGGATCCTTAGTCTTGAGAAAAATAAATCAGATGGGTACTTTGATAAGGTCACTTATAAATACAGTAGCATCACTATAAATATGGGTTGAGGTGATTTTGAAATTGTGAACTAATTGTTTTAAGGTATTTTCTAAAGAAACCAAATATAATGTTTAGCACTACTTGGTGCTATCTCTAGGGGCATCTCCGGATGTGAGGGAGTCCTGGTGGAAGGTGCCTGCCTGAACAAGTCCTTAAGAGCCAGTGTTTGAGTCAAACTTGAAGTTCTTTCGACAGCCTTTAGGGGTCAGTGGAGAACTACAGAAGAGCCTGTTGCTTAGCTGCTGCCCAAGCGGGAGGAGATAGTGGCCACCCAATTTTGTGTGTCGGCGGTCCAGTGTGGCGTCGGCCCTGCAGGAGGTGTGCCTCCTGTATTCATTGGACCTTATTGCCAATGTTGCTTTGCTTTTGGGATTCTTATATAGTTACTTGTGGGTCAACCATAAAAACACATTTAAAACACGTTCCTAAAATATATATTCAGAGTGCTAGGTAAAGAGATCCTAGGCATGTTGGCAGGTGTAAATGGAATGTTTTAGGAACTAACGGACTAGTTGTGCCTTGTGAATTGAGTTCATAGTCATTACAGACTTACAGCAAGTAGAAGTTCAGAAATACTATTTTCTATAGTGTTTAATCTCTTATTTGGGAAAGAAAAATAATTATGGTATTGTAGGGATTTCAGACTTCTGTCATGTGGATGATTTCACCAGGTTTCTTTTCAGTAGCAGCATCCTCACAGCAGCAACCAGATGTCTCTCACTGTCGCGGGGCTTTGTCTTAAAAGAAGACCATTGGAGATGCTGTCCGCTGTACTCATTGTAGACACAGTAAAAGGTGATTTTTCTAGAAGGAGAACTATATTCACTGGTAGTACTTTAAGACTGTAAAAGGAAAGAACACCTATATTCACATTGTTGCTAAATTGACCTTGCTTATAGAAACCTTTTGAAAGGTGTGAGTTTGAGTACTCAAGATCTGAAGGAATGCAGACTGCCTGCTCTGACGTTGAGTGTCCAAATCACGCATTTTTTTCAGGAAATCATCATTGAGGGCCCACGTAGTGCTCTCTGTTGCTGGTTCCCAGTAACGGTGTGACAAACCAGCTCCCTGTGGCTAAGCAGCTCATGACCTGTTAGGGCAGAGCAGACATTTACACAGGAACTTACAGTCAATCAATACGGGAAAATCCAAGTGGCATGGGAATGTTTAAATGAGGCATCTGACAGACGTGGGGGTGGTTCCCGAAGGCTCCAGAGGTGATGGTGTCCAGTCTGGCCCTGACAGGTGAGGATGAGCTCTTCGGGTCAGTGGGGAGGAGAGCAGCATGTTCGGCAAAGCTGGGGAGGGGGACTGTGCTGCCAACATGGGGCCGGGGAGCCCAACCGGGAGCACGTCCTGAAGGTCTGGATTCAGGTTACTGAGAATAATGAACCTGGGGCGCGACCGTGGCGATTAGCAGGGCAGCCAGTTGTAATAATCCATGTGCAGTGACGTTGGCCTTTATGGTTACAGCAGCCGCGGGGCTGGAGGGAAGGGAATGGATTTGAGGGTGACTTGGCCTGTGGCGGCAGCAGGACCAGGTGATGCGTGTACGGAGGCCAGGAGGTGGTTGGAGTCTCAGTGGCACCTGGGTCTCTGACTTGAGGACCTGGTGGGTGGTGGCATCTTTTACCACCCAGGGAGCACTGGAGGAAGAGCTTCTTTGAGGGGGATAATGATTCCATTCAAATACGCTAATTTGAGGTATTTTTTAGGATACCTTGTGAGGCCATTAATTAGACTGGTCTTAAACTTAAGATAGATCTAGAGGTAAATGTTTTAGATGTCATCAGCCTGGATATACTTGAAGTTGTGGAGTGGAATGCGGAAGGGACATCAGTGAGTGGGAACTGCAGTCTCACAGGATGGCATGGCTAGGAGGAAGATGGGGTTGGGGCGGGGGCCGTAGACCTGTCTGTCGTGGTGCATGATACCTTTTCAACTAACAGACCCCTTCGGAGCTGCCATATAGCATCTGAAAATTTAAAGATATACTATGGAAGAGTTGGGCAAAATCAAAGTCAAAACTTCTAACGAAGTTAGACGCTTTGTTTGTTGGGAGGCTGTTTAAAATGCCCATATGGAGAAGGAAGTGGAGGCTGAAAATCACAGAGGAGGAACAGGTGGATTCAGAGTAAGGGGTTCGGGTTAGCCTTTAAGGAGGGAGAGGTTAGCATGCTAGGAGGGAGAGGCGGGCTTGGAGTGACTGGGGGCACGAGGGATGCAGGCAGAGCTGAGGCCAAGACAGCGAAGCAGTGCAAACCTGGTGGAGCCAGGGCTGCGGGATGGTGAGGCTGGGAGTGAGGGAGAGAAGGGGAAGGCCCCAGGCAGCACTGGGATGGGCTGGAGTGGGATGTCAGGAGTTTAGGTGGCACTGAGCATTGCATGACAGTGTTGTTTGGTAGATGTGTTTGTTCTGTTTTATGGCCATTCAGTAGCATTTTTATTTCCCAGTGTGACATTAAAGAATCTAGAACATTAATCAGAGAAATTGTACACTCAAGAAAATCAGAGATTCTGAAACAGAATTAGTGATTTAATCACTAATCACTGTGTATCTACTTTCAGATTGATTTGAAGCCAGAGAAAAAATTTCTGGTTTCTTAATAAAGCAACAGTGAAATGTAGAAGATGTTAGCAAAAGCATATTCGTGCCACGAAAAACCGGCATGTTACTCAGATGCTGCTGGCTTGACTGACCCTGAAAAGAACTCTGGAGGAAGCCTCAGAAATGCAGGCGGAGCAGAGCAGCATAGCCCTGAGCGTTCATGGGACTGAGCTGCTTCTGTCACGCGCGGAGCACCCAGCAGGGGCTAGAAAATGGAGAATAGCCACAAAAAATTTTTATGCTTCTGTAACAAATCTAGAGTCCCTCAGAGAAAGTGCTGATAGTAGCCGGCTTCGCATTTTTAGGTGAAGGTAAACTTTTAGGTGAAGTTTCACCTTTCATTTTTCGATGAAATCTACAGTTTTGTCAGTCGGCTTAAACCTTCTCTGAAAGAGGTCAGGATGGATAAGTATAACGTGGATAGTTGCTTGAAAAGGTAGAAAATAAAACAGATTGTACTCACTGTGCACAGGTGCACAGCTAAATTTTTGGGTCACACTGAGCGTGTACCTGGGAGGGGTCGATGGAGACATCAATGTCAGGGTGAGACCTGTGAGTCGTGGCTTGTGACTTGTAGAATTCGTGACTTTGTTTCCCAATGAAAAGATCCACCAGTTCTGTGATGATATTAACATAAAAATACAAAAACCTTCCACAAGTGGTTTCTAAACTATTTCGTGTAACTTTGCTGCACTGGAGAGAAATCGGATCTCATCCGAGAAATATCTTGAGGACAAATCTATGTACGCTCTGTGCACCTGTAGAATGTTTTAAATACTCACCGTTCTCCAGGGAAGACTGGCTGTAGATTTTCCGTTATAGTCCAGTGACTTCAGTGGGAGAAGACACAGTCCTCTCATTTGAGCTCTGCGTTAAAACCTAAAATTCAGTGCAAGTGGTATTTTCCTTAGAATCTTACTGAAACCATAACATGGCTGAACATCACTTAAAACAACACTTTATTATACCCCTTTACATTGAAAAGTAATTGTAGTTCGAGGGGTTTTGAGTATTATTCGATTAGAAATCTTAGACTCTATTTATAGTTTTAGTAGGGAAAAGTACACTTACAATTCTAGGATTTCAGATGAACCTCAAAGCTGAACCCTTTCTTCGGATACACATTGACCATATCTGTGGGTTGTAGATTCCTAATGGCAAGAAGGATACTTGGGGTATGTGGAGTGCACACTGTGCTGCAGGAACCTCGTGAGTACAGATGCCCGGCAGATATCCCGGGTCTGCAGGAGCCCTGTGAGTACAGATGCTGGGCAGATGTCACAGGTTTGCAGGAAGCCTCATGAGTACAGATGCTGGGCAGATGTCACAGGTCTGAGGGCAGCTGGGTCTCTTTTGAGGGTGTTAGAGCTGAAAGTGCATCTCATGGCTGTGGACACTATAGTTCACTATGTTTAACTGTCTGTGGGGCCATGTAAGGAGCGCTGAGGATTCTTTGCAGAGTTGTAAACTTCGTAAGTAAATCTTGGATATGCCTCTGATACATCAGTCATAGCCATTGGCAGGGGAGGCACTTGAGCCCTTGAGTGTGTGTGTTCCCTTGTGAGGCGCTGGGTGGCACATGGATATGGACGAGGGCCCTTTGGAGCTCCTGGTTGGTTGGGTTGCCACCTCCCGCCTGTTCATTGCCTGAGGGACAGTGTATCATCCCTCTCTTTAAAAAATGAATTTGCTCCTTCTGAAAGGTGCATTGTCTGAGTCTGCCATCAATGATCCCTAACTAAAAATTCTTCTGCCACTTTGAAAGCAAGTTCTTTTTTTGTCTTTTGAAATTTATTTTTTTAAACATCTTTCTTACTGGCTGCCATCTATTTCATTTAGGTAGGTGCTGGTGTATAATGTATATTAATGTCTGCTTTACACCTCTCTGGTTCTCCCTCACCTGAGCCCTCTGTGTTCGAGAATTCTAGCCCCGTCCCAAGGCCCAGGCACCAGGGAGGTGAGGAGTGTCCTCCTCTGCAGTGTGCCCTCCTCCTCTCCCCGGTGCACGGCGCGTCCCTGGAGACCGGGCGCCAGGGTCAGGTGGTGATGCTGCCTGTTAGTGGAATCTGTGCTTTCGGACAGCGTTCATGCAATTCACATACATATTTCATGCTTGTATAAGTTGATCATCTGGTTTAAGGATTTACATTTTTATAAGGCTTAGAATTCTGTCTCCTCCTCTCCCACTTTTCTCTACTAACTGGGCTGTCAAGTGTTAAACCAAGACAGCAAAACTGCAAGGTGTCAGTTAATCTTCAACTTACAGAAAGAGTGTTTTTAAAAAGTTTGCATTGCCATTGTTATTTTTACACACCTCTATAAAGAGGCTTAAGTCCCACTACTACTTTCCTCTCTTGAGAAGAGGCAAGACTGACGTCTCACATAACTGCATGAGTAGCAAGTCTCGATCTCGTTATCGAGGTAACTCATTGAGGGCATTTGAAGCAGTAACAAAACATGTCCAAGCTGACCTGTGCTACAAAGCCTTTTTGTAATCACCTCACTGATGGGCCTAGCTCTGATTTGTAATCACCTCACTGATGGGCCTAGCTCTGATTTGAGCCATCACATACATTAGTGTAACAATATGCTGCCATAGTCTTTGAACAAAAAATTAAAAGTGCGAGCAGAGAACTGTGCTCTGTGGTGACCTTCCAGCCTGGTGATGGTTGTGTGATCTCCTAAAGGATAAAAGGAGAGTCTGAGCTCGTCCCCGACCTCCCTCGAGGCTCCTCTTTCTCACAGGCGGTAAGGCCGCAGTCGGTTCCTTAAAGAAATGTCACCTTTATCTCCAAAGAGCAAGGGAATAGTAAATGTTTCACGCACAGCAGGCAGACTAATTGTAAAGGCATGAAGCAGAGCTTCTGTTTATTCAGTGCACTGCATTATTATAAAATAAATGTTTTGTATTTAATTTTTAAATACAATTATATTTTGTTTCATGTATTCCTTATTAGGCTCCTATTAGGTAAAGTAGTATAGTACTACTTGGTTAGATAGCTCAATTCTCGTTTAGTTTGAAATGTTCAGAAATTGGTTATGGAGAGGTTTTTTCCTGTTAAGGGGTCAAGAATTTAAATGACTGATTTTTTGTTTTCAGATAGCTTGCAGGTGGGTAAGGGAGAACAGCACGTTGTCGGTAAGTGTACCTGCAGTGCACCTCTGACGTCAGCTCTTCCCTTGCAGAGTTCTCTGGGGTGCTGCACCAGTGTCATGTTTTGGCCTCTGAGATGGTCCATTTCATTCATCAGATGCAGTATTACATCACATTTGAGGTACACTTCAGTCACTGTGTTGATTTTAGTTTCAATAAGTCATGTCTTGGTATATATATATGTGGTATATATGTATGTTTTACATGGTATATATATATGTAGGTATATATATGTGTCTGTGTGTTATGTGTGTGTGTATATATATATTTTTTTTTTCTTTTTTTTTTTGAGATGGAGTCTTGCTATTGCCTAGGCTGGAGTGCAATGGCATGATCTCAGCTCACTGCAACCTCCGCCTCCTGGGTTCAAGCGATTCTCCAGCCTCAGACTCCTGAGTAGCTGGGATTACAGGCACCTACCATCACTCCCAGCTGATTTTTGTATTTTTAGTAGAGACAGGGTTTCGCCATGTTGGCCAGGCTGGTTTCGAACTCCTGATCTCAGGTGATCCGCCTGCCTCGGCCTCCCATACGTGGTATATATTTTATGAGTGATGCTACACTAGGAAGAACATGAGCTTTTCTAGCATCTTTAAATTGTTGTTTCCCAGGTGCTTGAATGTTCTTGGGATGAGCTTTGGAACAAAGTCCAACAGGCCCAGGATTTGGATCACATCATCGCTGCACACGAGGTGTTCTTAGACACCATCATCTCCCGCTGCCTGCTGGACGGTGACTCCAGGGTAAGACTCCGACCTGCTTAGAAACAAGAAACCAAAAGAATAATCTTCTTTTCTTGGGTTCTTCTCAAGTGAGGGAATCTTAGAAATCCCCTGATGCAGCCACTTTGGTAATAATTCACATAATTTTATTACAAGTTTAATGTTGAAGGTACAGTTTCTGAACAGAACTGGAACAGTAGTGCAGTAGTGCTGAAACAAGAATATACTCTAAACTAGATATAAAAATGGTAGAAAATAATAATGCCTTTTCATTTTCTAGATATAATGATATCCTATTGTGGTATTCAAAAGAGAAAACCATGAGTTTTGAGGTTAATATCTGAACAAAGTAAGCAACACAATATAAGAACAAAACAGGCCAGGCACGGTGGCTCACGCTTGTCATCCCAGCACTTATTGGGAGGCCGAGGCGGGTTGATCATCTGAGGTCAGAAGTTCGAGACCAGCCTGGCCAACATGGTGAAACCCTGTCTCTATTAAAAATACGAAAACACTAGCCGGGAGTGGTGGTGTGTGCCTGTAATCCCAGCTACTTGGGAGGCTAAGACAGGAGAATCACTTGAACCTGGGAGGCAGAGGTTGCAGTGAGCTGAGATCACGCCATTGCACTGCAGCCTGGGCAATAGAGTGAGACTCTGTCTCAAAAAAAAAAAAAAAAAGGAAACGAAACACATGGTAACATGTATGACAGTTTTTGCAAACATTCTTTTCCTTTAGGGTCCATGTTCTGAAAGTTGCACGTTCCATGTGGCAAATCTTCTAGAGTTCTGCTTTTATCCTGAGGTCTGGGGCAAGAAGGAACCACATTGCTTTCACTTGAAGCAAATATATTGTGAAGTAGGGGGCAAATATCAAATGCATTTTTGACATGAACTCCGTGACTTCACAGATGTTTCCGGCTGGCGGAGGCTGCCTCCAGCTGGGCCTGCACTCTCCTCAGGGCCTGTCAGTGGAAAACACACCACTTCAGGGCCGTTACTTCATCTAAATTTTAGTATATGTAGGTTAACCAGCCATGAATTTCATTATTAAAGAACTATCATGTCAAAAAGTGGTTGAGATCAAAGCTGCTTCTATATGGAATGTTTTACATGTTTTTATAAATATGTGGAAATTATGTCAGAAAAATAATTTAAAATACTTCGAGGATAATTAATAATTAAAGAAATATACATCTTGAGGTTTGAGGCCCTTGAAACCTCTATTACTAACCATGGTCTTGTTATTGGACTAAAACCACAGAAGGTTTCATGGTGACTGCCAGCTGTTGCCTCTCTCTATTCAGTAGATGCTGATGAGCATCGTCCGCACACGTTTAGGACGTCAGTGTAACAAAAAGCTCTGTGTTCCTAGACTCGTGTGCCATTGGCCAGCATGGCCTGTCTCACAGTGCAGTTGCATGGCAAGACAGACACAGGCTCTGTAGCCAGGTAGACCGAGGGTTGAGTTTCACTTCATAGCTTTTGACTCCAGCGTTCTGTTTTAAAGGGCGTGATCCTAGTCTCTTCAATAGATTTGTAAGAATTATATAATTCAAGTATAATGTTGACCATAGTGACTGGCAGATAGGTGTTAGTTGCTATTTTGTGCCTGGGTGTGTGTTTTACAGAGGTGTTTACAGTCACTAGATTTCATGCATTTCAGAAAATGTTTGAACTACTGAGGACTAGACCCATACTGGTATCAGTCCAATTGTGGCAAATAAGTAACACTCCACACAGCTGACAGATATTGTAGGAGATTTAGCCCGCTTACAGGTATGAACATTCTGTGTAAGATAAATTGTCATAGCTTTTGCCCCTACACAGTTTCCACTGATAAGAACCCTATCTGGGGGAGAAAAATCGTCCCATTTGTAGCACAGTGCTCTTGTGAAAATGGGAAGTGGGGTGTTCGTGTGTGCATTGCTCCCACCTGACGTCGTTGAAGGAGTCATGCCAGAGGCTTCATGATCGTTTCTAAACTTGCCTTTGCTGATGGCTTTACTCCTAATTTGATGATTTGTTTAAAATGAGGTGTTTTTTTTTTTTTTTTAATAAAAAGAAACCCAGTATGTAAAGCAGATTAAAACAATCCATTATTGACATAAGCAATTTTAAGTAGAACAGTTTTATTATGTCACTCACTAAGAAAACCAAGACGGTTCTGATACGTGTAATTTTGAAGCTGGAGTCTGTGCCTGTTTTTGTAGTTTTTGTTTGTGCATTGTTGAGAGAAATTGTGAATTGGTACCACTGAGGTTGCCAAAGAACGGCCTCCTGCAGGTGCCCTGTGCAGACAGATTGCCAGCAAAGCCCTGCCTGGCAGCCTGAGCTTGAAGTCGATGTCAATGGGTCACCTTGTGGATAGATTAACTCTTCCAAAGATAATAAATTATTCTTTATTAGACTACATAAAGAAACAAATTAGAGAAATCTTTACTAAAAACAACAGATTAATCCGTCTCTTTTTTGTTGCTTATTTAAGATCCTGTCAAAAGGACAGAACAGCTTCTAAGATGAGAACGTGTAAGATGGAAGATGTGTTTACCGCATTAATCATGTGGTGGTTTTATGTTAGGAACAGCATCCCTTGATCACATCCTTCTGTCATTTGCCAAATCAGTCCACATTGTTTTTGTTGCCATGTACTTTGGAGACCTGATTTTGCATAAGGGCGTTGTAGTGAGTGAAAGAGAGCATGGGTTGTTCACTGCCCAATACCAAGTTCTCCTGCTTCCGTTTGTTCCAAAACCCAGTCAGCAAATACTCATTTCAGCTTTGTCTCGCTTGAGATCAGACGTTAGTTCAGCTCTGAATGGTGCTGCTGTGACTTACAAATGAATTTTGAACCAAAGCATCGCCAGCCTTTCATAACGGAAAATATTTTTGCAGAATAGTATTAGTCCATTAGACAATGGGTGGTGAGAAGTGGCTTTGCAAATATCTTCATTAACTGTAAAGTTGTGTTAAAAATAGAGTTAACTCAACTTCTTAGTTTCTCCCCAAATCGACTGTATTGTGTCTTCCCAACCACAGGCTTGGAACCTCTCCTGTTATCTCGGTTTTCTTTATGCTTCTCAAGTACAGTTGTGTCATTTTTCTCCTATAAACTTCTTGCAAATCTTTTGTTACATTATTGCTACATTTGAGAAATTTGGCTGGTCTGAAATGGTATTGATTTTATTACTTTGATCTCTAAGTTTTCTAGTCTAATATTTTCTTGGCGCATATTTTTTATAAATAAAACCAGTTTTGTTTCTTTCATTCCACACAGTCTGCCTTTGCTTCTTTTTTACGCTTCAGAGTGTTAGCTAGGCTGACTCTAAGCACAAAGGGAATCCCAGTCTTATTCCTGACGTTAAAGTGATGCTTTGTTGCTTCACCATTGGCTGTTTTGTTTGCAAAGACATTTGATAGGACCTTTGTCAAACTAAGAGGGTTCTGCCCTACTCCTAGTTTGCTTAGATGCTTTATTTAAATTATGAGTGGGTGTTGAATTTTATCACAGTTTTCTTCTGCACTATTGAAATTAATCCCCGCTCTGCCCTCAGACTGTTAGTGTGTTTTTTCAAACCTAAGATGGCAGAGGGTAGAGTTAACCTTTCTCTTCAGTCATAGCACACTGCCATCAGTGGTCCATGAAAAGCCTCTCATATTTTTTTAGGTTTAATTTTATCCTCTGCCCTGCCAATACTCCAATTCCACCCTCCTCTACCCCCTTCCCTGCTGTTTGCATCGGTTTTAATGTGTTTGCTGTATGGCCTTGGGTATATAGATGGTATTTTCTGTGGATACATTTTTAATTTATGTAAATGATTTTGTGCTGTAGATTTCATTGTGTCCTTCCATGCCACACTACGAGAAAGATTAATGAAGTACAGTAGTTGTTTACTGAAGATTACTGTACAGTAGTTATAAGCAATGAACGGGAGATCCGTGCTGTGACATTGATATTTGTTTAAAACGTTAGGAGTTTTTTCCTCATATTAAGGTATCCTTTTATTCCTGGTATAAAATATGATACACTTTTTAAAAACCTTGCTGAATTTGCTTTTTATATTTTAGTAAGTACTTCCTTTCTCATATTTTTGATTACCTGCTTTTGCTATATCTAAAGAAAAATGGAGATGCCTTCCTATTCTTTTTTTTTTTTTTGAGACGGAGTCTTGCTCGTCACCCAGGCTGGAGTGCAGTGGCGCGATCTTGGCTCAGTGCAAGCTCGCCTCCCCGGTCATGCCATTCTCCTGCCTCAGCCTCCAGGATAGCTGGGACTACAGGTGTCCACCACCACGCCCAGCTAATTTTTTGTATTTTTGGTAGAGACGGGGTTTCACCGTGTTAGCCAAGATGGTCTCGATCTCCTGACCTCGTGATCCGCCCACCTCAGCCTCCCAAAGTGCTGGGATTACAGGCGTGAGCCACTGTGCCCGGCTCCTATTCGTTTTTAAGTCTTGGAATAGTTTTACTCATTACTACCTGCTATCTAGCTTTGAAATTTGGGCAGAACTTCATTTTTGTAAACTTGTGAGGACTGGAGATGATTTGCAGAGAGCTCCTGGCCCACCGTGGGACTCGGGCAGTCACAGTTGCTCTTGTTACGGGTGCAGGTGCAGGACGGTCTCGTTTTGCTGGTGCCCAGTGCAGCACTGCTCAGCCGGAGGGTTCGGGATATGTGTGACGAGGGAATGAATGAACAGCTAATGAGCACTCTGGGAATTTTAGTTGATATCTTTTATATCTTTTCACTAAATGTCAATGTTTTAAGAAACTTAGCTTGTTGAGGCTCTATTCATAAAACATTGTCATCTCTTTCAGGCACTCTTAAATCAACTTAGAGCTGTGTTTGATCAAATTATTGAACTTCAGAATGCTCAAGATGCAATATACAGAGCTGCTCTGGAAGAATTGCAGAGACGATTACAGTTTGAAGAGAAAAAGAAACAGCGTGAAATTGAGGTATGGCCTTTACACTTGTGAATTTATCTATTTGAATAATGAACTCCTTGCCACACACGATAATCACCAATGCCAACAAATAACTTACTTGCCAAAATTGTCAGACAGGTTGAGATGTGCCTATACTGCGTTTGAAGTCCCGAGAAATCACTGACAGTTGTAAAGAGAGAGGGGCCACCCTCACTGTCATCATCATCCTGTTTCACAAAATAAAAACAGCAACATTCATGAGAGTCACAAGTCTCCTGCCTGTTTTCGTTACTAAGTGCCACAATGCCGACGTCACCTGTCGGAGTCTCCACAGCCGCCTCCACTCTGCATCGCTCTGGTGTTTGAAGCTTGTGGATCATGCACCATGCTGCATTTTGCAAACGTGTGCATCTACAGATGCTCCTCAACTTACAGCAGGCTTGTGTCCCAATAAGCACCTTCTACATTGAAAGTGCATTTAATACAGATGGAGCATCCCTAATCTGAAACGTGAGAAGCTCCTAAACCTGAAACTTTTTCATCTCTGACATGACGTCACAAGTGGGAAATTACACACCTGACTCCTTTGCTTTCTGATGGCTTATTGCACGCAAACTTTGTTTCCTGCAGAAAATTATAAAAAATATATAAATTTACCTTCAGGCTACTATGTATTTAAGGTGTGTATGAAGCATGAATGAATTTCATGTGTAGACTTGCGTCCCCTCTCCAAGACATCTCATTGTGTATATACAAATACTGCAAAATCTGAAATTCAAAATACTTCTGGTCCCAGGCATTTCAGATAAAGGATTCTCAACCTGTACCCTGATAAACCCATCGTTAAAGTAAAAAAAATCTTAAGTCACACGATCTTAAGTTGGAGACTGTATATGTGTGTTTATATACCTGTAATGTAAGTATATGTGTATATATAATATGTATAGGTATATATGTATGTGTATACGTGTGTGTGTGCATTGCATGTATGTGTGTTTACAGGTACATGCATGTATGTGTGTACATGTATATGTACATGAACCAAATTTCTGTACTTAAACGGTTATTTTCAGATTTATTAAGCAAGTTTGGCTGTTTATGGGATTTCGTTTATTTTCTATGATCTGTATAATCTTTTACTTTTTCAAGATACAGTCATGTGCCACATAACGTTTTGGTCAATGACAGACTGCATATATGACAGTGGTCCCATAAAATTATAATGCCATATTTTCACTGTACCTTTTCTACGTTTAGATATGTTAGATACACAAATACTTACCATTGTGTTACAGTTGCCTACAGCGTTTAGTACAGTCACACGCCGCCCAGGTTTGCAGCCTGGGAGCATAGGCTGTGCCATATAGTCAGGGTGTCGGCGGCTGCACCACTGAGGTTTGTGTAAGGCACTCAGTGATGTTCACACAGGGACAAAACCACCCAGCGATGCATTTCTCAGCATGTGTCTGTTTTTAATGTCATATGACGGTACTAACTTGTGGGATCGTCAAAGACATTATTCAGTCAGTACAGTTTGGTTAGTTTTACTGTTGAGTATTGTTTCCCTTAAAGCCTGTGTTAGAGGACCACTTGTAGCTTAGAGAGTCCTCCACGGGGAGCACAAGTTATTTCTTTGGTGTATTTTGGAAACATTTGTATCGCTAAGGGCTCTCATTATTCAGAGCGGATTTCGGTAATTCTGGAGTGTTGTCGAGTTGGCACACAGAAGCTCCTGGACCTTGTCCAGGCAACCTTGTGGATAACTTAAAGTCAGACATACTCACGATTCTACCTAACTCTGTAACTTCCTGGCTTTGTGCCTTTGGGTGGCTCACCTCTCCAAGATATCGTTTCCTTATCTGTAAAATGGGTGATAAGGAATATGACCTCACAGAGTCACTTACCTGTGTGTGATGATATATGACGCTTGTTTAGTAGGCATTCAATGGATGCTGGCCACTGCCATTTGTAAAACTGCCCGTGTGCCCCAGAGAAGCTTCCATTCTAGAGAATTACTAAACTGTCTAAAAGTCGACCAAAATCAATTCTTCGGATTTTAACCCTGTGCTAATAGCGCATCTGCCGGCCATGTGGGAGTGGAAGGTTCTCTTGGGCACTTAGCTGTCACAGTGAGTGGGACAGATGAGCAGGCCACGTCCACGCTGATTCGGGATATTCCATTCAGACTTCCTTAAGGATACAGGAAGAGACACAAAAGCTAAAACCGTATCTGAGAAGTTAAGTTCAAAAGGCAAGATAATATTCAAAGCCATCATTTCGACCTGAAGTCCCCTGAAAGTTCTGAAGAGATCATGCAAGTCGCTTCCTGGAAAGGTGACAGAGCCCCGGGTGTGTGCTGAGACCGAAGTGGCGCCCACCGGCTGCACCCCCTGGTGCCGCCATGTTCTCCTTGTGCTGCCGTTGGGTGGGGGACTCCAAAGGGTCCTTCTCCTCCTCCTCATGGCTCTTCTGTTTCTTTCCACTTTTCTTCTCACACACTATAAATATCAATTTATAGTGATTTTACAATACAAATGTAGGACTTTTACTTTCATTTTTTATCAATGTATCTTCAATGTTGAAAACCTTGGTTTCTAACATGATCATACTTAATTATTTGCCGTCTTATGATAATGCATCCGTGCTTGCACCCATACATGTGACTGTCTCAGAATGAGAATCCCGATGCTGCCACTGATACGGGAACAGTATAGTTTTGAAAATAGTTTTACTTTTTTTGCATTTTTTTTTTTGAGGGAAAAAATATTTCTTCTGTTATTCTAATAATTTTAAAAAATTTTTTGCTGAAATTTTTTCCACTAAATAGAAGCATTCAAATTCCATGTGGTGATGTCCTTGAAATAATTTGGCTCCCATAAAGGTCTTCTACCAACTCACTGCACGGTTAGGTTAAGTGGTTTCATTTTGGCTTTTAATTTTTAGGGATTGCTTTTACTTATCAAACAGAATTGAATATAGTTATCTAAGATAGTAACCTGATGCCAAAACAAAGCATCTGGGGAGTTTAGCTTTTGTTGCTCTCTGTGTCCTAGTCTCCCTTGTAAACAAGGATTGGGAAATCCACAGTATTATCACACTGATAGGTCAAAACGATAATGTGTTACAAGTTTCAGCTTATTCCAAGCATAGAACCCTCCCTGTTATCATTCTAATAAAAATATTGTAATTCATGCTTATAAACTAAAGTGGAAAAATTATATGATCATCTCAATAGATGGAGAAAATCATTTAATACCAAGTAAAACCCAATAAAAAGGTTTGCATGAATAATCTTATACTAAAACATCATACTTGGGGTGAAATATTGGAAGCACATCCCTGAATGAGACACACACGCTCCTGCACTGATGCTCCCAGCCAGGGCTGCGAGCTGAGAGGAAGTACAGAGAGAAGGAAAGAAAGCTGGCATTTTGTTGTTGTTGTTACAAAAGTCTGTGGTTGTGTAAAATGTCTCTTGCCATGTACAAAAATCAAATCGAAATGGATTAAAGACTTAAATCTAAGATCTCACATTGTGGAACTACTAAAGGCAAACATTGGGGGAAACTAGGACATTGGTCTGGGCAAAGATGTCTTGAGTAATACTCTACGAGCAACGGCAAAAATGGACAAATGGGGTCACATCAAGTTAACAAGCTTCTGCACCCAAAGGAAGCAATCAACAAAGTGAAGAGGCAGCCCAGACAACGGGAGAAAATATCTGCAAACTACCCATTGGCGAGGGATTGATAACCAGAATATATAAGGAGCTCAAACAGCTTAACTGGAAAAAATCTAGTAATTCAGTTAAAAAATGGGCAAAGGATCTGAATGGACGTTTCTTGAAAGAAGACATGCAAATGGCAACCAGGCATCTGAAAAGATGCTCAACATCATGGATTATCAGAGATATGCAGATCAAAACTACAGTGTGCTATCATCTCACCCCAGTTAAAATGGCTTTTATCCAGAAGTCAGGCAAGAACAAATGCTGATGAGGATGTGAAGTAAAGGGAACCCTCGCACACTGCTGAGGGGACGGGAATTAGTCCAGCCACCGTGGACATAAGTTTATAGTCGAGCACATGTATGTCCTTAAGTTACAGAATAAGATCACAGTAGTTAAAAGAGTGGTGTGGGCTCAAGGAAAGACAAGTAAGTGGAACAGGGTAAGGGCCAGAAGCCCACAGGAAGACTTTACTCTGTGGCACGTGGCGCTGAGAGCCATGGGGCCTGGGCCTAATTAGGCAGCATTGGCTAATTTTAAGCAGCTCAAAATATACTATTTTACTCTACTAAGTTTAGACGTTTAATGTTAAAATTTTAAAGGCATACACCAACAAATGTTGGTCAGGATGTGAGACAACTCTTCTGCTGCTGGTTCTGGATAAACTGGAATAACCACTTTGCAATACTGTTAGGCAGTGGCCAGTGCTGAACTCAGGACTACTGTGACCCAGCATTCTCTCTCCTAGGTGTAGTGCCCAACAGAAGTGCGTCTCAGGCACACCAGGCCCCATTCCCACAGCTAGGGTGTCTCAGGCACACCAGGCCCCGTTCCCATAGCTAGAGCGTCTCAGGCATACCAGGCCCTGTTCCCATAGCTAGTGCGTCTCAGGCACACCAGGCCCCGTTCCCATAGCTAGGGTGTCTCAGGCACACCAGGCCGCATTCCCGTAGCTAGAGTATCTCAGACACACCAGGCCCAGTTCCCATAGCTAGGGTGTCTCAGGCACACCAGGCCCCATTCCTGTAGCTAGAGTATCTCAGGCACACCAGGCCCCATCCCGTAGCTAGAGGGTCTCAGGCAACAGCCTGTCCATAGCTTAGAGCGTCTCAGGCCACCAGGCCCGTTCCATAGCTAGGGCGTCTCAGGCACACCAGGCCCGTTTCCATAGCGTGACGTCTCAGGCACAACCAGGCGTTCCATAGCTAGGCGTCTCAAGGCACACCAGGCACCGTTCCCATTAGCTAGGGCGTCTCAGGCACACCAGGCCAGTTCCATAGCTGAGCGTCTCAGGCACACCAGGCCGTTCCATAGCAGGAGCTTCTCCGGAGGAGAGGGTGGTGATTGGAAGGGGCCACAGAAGCATCTGGGTGCTCGAGTTGCCCTTGCTCTGCATCTGCATGGGGGTGACCTGGGCATATTCATCTTTGGTCAATTATTAAGCTGTTCAGTATGAGTTTTCAATTTATACACAAAATTTTTACATGTGTGTTATTCTCAAGCAGTAAAATAGTAAAATTCAAAAACTTGTTCTACAAACAGAAATAAAAAGAGGTTGGTGAGGAAAAGTGGAAAGTAAGTAACTGTTATCCTTATTTATCTTTGTTAACCAAGCATCCAAAAAGATACTGTTTAAAGCTTCATAAATGAAAGTAAAAAGGTATACCTGTGTTAAAAAGGAGTGTTAGAGATATGAATAAAGTTTTCTAAAATCAGCATGGCAAAAAGGAAGGCAGGACAATAATTTTATTGCCCAGATTAAAATATTGCATACCATCCCGAAGAAAAAGATGGAACTGTCTTATGAAGTGTAGGTAAAAAGGTAACCACTGGGAAACCAGTGTCACTGGCTGGCATTAGAAGAAACACAGGTGATATGGTAGAAGATTACCACCCTCAACTTGGAAAGTCGCAGTATAAATATGAAGACAGAAACTAAGAGCAGTGTACGTCACTGTCGATTCAGGGGCTTGGGTTCAAAGCCTGCCTCAGTAGAGACTGTGTTTGCTTGATGGCCCGGGTGGAGGGTGCTGGATGGCTGGTAGCTGAGGGCTGAGGTCCGTTATCCGGGCAGACATACAAACCTACGGAATTCTGGCCGGGCCGCGGTTGACTCCACGCCTGTAATGTCCCAGCTCTTAGGGAGGCAGA